TGAGGGTCAGGTTTGCCGCCAGGAGTTCAACTGACGGTGGGATTTCCGGTTCATGATCCACCGGCCTACGCAACATCAATGTGCTCTGCAAAGCCAATCTCATCCGCAGAACATGTTTGAGGGCTTCCAAGCCCCAGACTCTAGTCGGCAAGGCTTGGATGGCCTTGGCCCTTTCCTGCAAAACAAGCAATCTATTCTGCAGCCTCCCAGGGCCCGTTTGCTCAATCATCTCATCTTCATCTATCCAAACCTCATCTTCCCTGCCTCTTTTTGCCTCCTCCTAAGAAGGGACAGCAAAGGCCTGGGCTAGGTGCCTTGACTGTAGGCTGCTGATGCTCCTGAGGGTACCCTGGAGTCCCGCTGACAGCAGTCTGGGTTGCCCCTCCACAAGGGCGGTGCCCCAAGAGTACCCTCTGCATCATCCGCATCGTGCTCTCGAGTTGTTCGAGCATGTGGTGCAAATGAGCTAACCTCTGTCCTCTTTGGGTCATAGGTGTCAATCTGTACCTTGTCTCGATCATTGTCAGAGCCAAGCAAATTGTTGCGTTCTTTTTGGCTCCCCTCTTCCTGTTCCGTCTGAAACTGTTCCGCCCATTCCTCCACACCATAGGCCCTGCTCACCGACATGGTGCGCCCCGGCTCTAAAGCAGAAGAAAAGGCAGGGTCCACCCCAGTAGCAATGTCAAAATTTGGCATGTCATGTGCTTGTGGAAATGGACTATCGTAGTAGCTCTTCACGTGAACATACGGCTGCAGGCCTTGAGTCCAGCAATGTTCACTATCACAATCTTCATCCCATTCATACATGTTCCATTGTGCAAAGCGCTGTTCTCCCACACGCTCTCCCCAAGTGTTGTGAGGATGTCCAGCCCTCCACAAACTCAAACACTTCAAATCGTTTGAGTGCTCCCAAGTGTCAACCTTCATTGACTCTCCCAAACATTGCTTCCAACAGAACCCCTTCACCGTCAGAAGCTGTCCCCTTTTGCCAGGCACCCCAAGGTTCCTGGTGGTGTTACGCCTCAGCCGTCTTTCGGCGCTTGGCCAAGCTAGATTGCGTTCCAGCTCTTTCTGCTGGTCCGTAGTGAACAGAATGCCAGCTTGCAACATGGCCTTCATGACGTGTTCCGTCGTATCTGGGTCCAGAACGTGGTCAGAGGCCGGAGAGCCTGGCAATGCTTCCTCCTTCAACTGCTTTGCATAGGCTTCGGATTGATTGCCAAGCTGCTTGTGCTCACGATCAATGGCCTCCTGAACCAGCTTGAGTTCATCCAGCAAGGTCTTATAGTGCTCCTTGGCCGTGTCAACTTTCTTCTGTAAGGCTTGCTTTCTATGCGACAGTTGGCGTAGTTCACCAACGGTGGCCTTGAGCTGCCCTGTGACATCAATTGGAGCATTGGGCGGCTTCAAAAGCCCTTCAACCGCCTCTTTGACTTCCTTAGGAAGTGCTTCAAGGTGAGCTTTCAAGATCTCTTCAAGTGGCTGCAGTTCCGGTGTGGGGTGTAGTCAATTCCACACTCCTTCAGGGCTGTAGACAGAACTGTTGGCACCATGGCTGAAGACTGAACTGTTGGCAGGTGGTTGCAGTAACAAGTGCTCGGCAGGATGTACTACAAGTACTGTAGTCACTACTCCCCCTCTCTCTCTCTCTCTCTCCCTCCTAAAACGATATATAAATACTTTTTGGCGGTGGCAATGCAACGTGGAGTCAGGGTTTTCACCTGCCGTCTTAGGATGCCTTCCGAGCTGGATCCCACAGCGGTGCATCTTTTTACTGGAAAGGGGGGAACATCCGCCTTCATAGAGCCAACTGCACGTGGCTTGGACAAAGACAGGCTACTGGGGGCTGCTGGCATCGCTACTAGTAACAAGAAGCTACTAGGAGCTCCTGGCCTTACTACTAGGAACAAGGACGCTACTAGGGGCTCCTGGCCTTACTCCTAGGAGCACTATACAAGGGAATATGGTTTCTACTTTTGCATTCCTTAAAGGCCGCTCTGCCCTCCAACCTACTAGCGATGGCCTCCAACCTAAGAGCGGCGGCCTCTAACCCTTTGGTTAATGATCTTATGACTTATGGTTTGTTTGGTTTAGGAGGCCGCCACAGGCGGTGAACTTCGTGGTGAACAACCTCGCCTCGCTTCTCAGCTCACCAAGGTGGAGCTTGCGCTCTTATCAACTGGCGGGATGGGGTGAATGTCCAAGAGCTGCCAAGCTTGGGCGAGCTGCAGGATCCAGAAGAGGCCACTTGCTCCTGCAGGGCGGTCCTTTTGCATTTAAGTTGTTGAGTTCCGTGAACATTGACACTTGCTACCAATAATGGGCATTGCAACGGGCTTGAGCAGGCTCGAGAGACCCTCTCCTCCTACTTCCCTGCGATTGCGGCCCCTTGGATGCATGAGATGAAGGCAGTTTGTTTGAGCACACTCCGCTGGAGGAAGGCCAGGATGACTTCAGTGCAAAGCAATTCCTGCCCACATGCAAGGAGGCAATCACAGATGATGCTGGCAAGCAGTTCGTCTCGCAAAAGGCATACGGGGCTCTATTGGAATGCCAATCATTGGCTGACAGTCTTTCATGGTGTAGCATGTGCATGTGTTTTTGATGCTGCTGACAGGCATCACAGGCTTCAACTGTGAAGTGCAACACGTATCACTTCGGCAGAGCCTTGCTGTGCTGTAAAGTCTGAAGTGCTGCCACTCATTTGGTGCAGCATTTCATGTGGGATGTATCCCTGAACATTGCCTTGGCTGAGACCTGCTCAGGAGCAGTGCTGCTGGGAGATGCGGCACACTCCACAGGAGGAGTCAGTGGGCAGGGCTGCTCCTCTGCGATGAAGGACTAAATTCCCTTTATACTTTTTAACGGCACTGTCCTTCGGGGTGTCATGCCCCAACCATGCAGCTGGAAGGACTCAGTTGTGCTTGCAGAGCTGCTTCAGTGAGGGCCTTTGAGATCTTGGAAACAGCTGAGCCAAATTAATTGCATATTCAAACTCACACCACTTAAACCAAGTGTGCTGCGTTTTTGAGGCGCGAGGTCGGAGGTGCCAAGCGAGACACTCTGGAGGTCTTGTCAATGTACTCACGCCAGCAGGCTACTTGGACACAAGAGGACGTAAAGAGAATCATTCTCGGTGTACATATTTCTTTTCCATGTGCTTTTGTGCATATTCAGAGTGCAGCGATTGAGGTTCCTGAAGGACATGCATTGCTAGACCTATCCTTGGGACCCAGCGAGAAAGCTGGGCCCCTGCGGAAGGCCCTTTACAATGCTGACGCCTGTTTGCATAAGCACATTTTATGTCTTATGTTAGGAAGGAAGTCGTGTTAGGAAGTATGAAGGGACAGGGCCCGAAAGAGGCCCAGGCAGACTCCGATTCATCGGAGGATTTCGAAAGGTCGAATCCCAAAAGTCTTCAAAACGATCCCAAAAGATCGAACAAGTACATGTTACTGAGGCATCTTTGGCGGGAACTTTGTTGAGCAAATTGGGGATTGGAGATCCTCCACTGCAGACCCTTCTGACAACTTCCTTGACTCCCTTCTCTGAAGCTTGCCAGGTTCGAGACAATTTTGCTAGGCTGACACATGCATACTGTAAGAATTAGATTCGAGTTCGCATGTCTCGTGTCCATGAGTAGCTTGAAGTGTCTCAGCACATGAGCTCCTTGTCAGACAGCAGGAGAACTCATCAGTTGCTGTTTCAGTTTGCCAATGCCATCAGCAGAGAATAATTGCGAGCAAACATGAGCGAACCAGAGCGGGTTTGGTCCTTCCTTACTGCGAGGAATGAGAACTTAGACTACATTACATAAACCAGCAAGCCTAAAACTCAAGCGCACGAAAGGAAGAACAAAGCTTGCGATACTTCAGCCTAGCGCCTGCTAAAAGCATGCCTCAGACGGCATTGGCACACTCGCCTTTTCATGGTGGAGCTGGAATCCCAACCATGTCATGTGATCGCAAGTGATGGTTTTCATCCTTGTCAGGACGTTTTTGCTTCATGGTTTCGACATGTTTGGACTGAACTGAACAATACAATCCTGTCCGTTGGAGACGCAAACGCAACATAACACAACTTCAGCGGTGAGGTCTCCGACAACGAGGTTTCCCCAAGAGCCCACTGTCCAAAAGTTTTCGAATCTTTCCCTCCTAGTTCGGAATTTTCTATAGACCCGGTTTGAAATTGTTTCCCGGTCGTCCTGTTCATTTTGCTTTTGTAACGTTTTTGCTTTTTCAGAAATCTCAATAAGTTAAGCCTCGTGTGCCCTGGAAGAGCCACTCAGGACATACGACGTGACCGCGACTTCTTTTTTGGAGAGTTTCCGCAACAAGAAGAATTTGATTCAATGATCGAAAGGGCTTCAACCCCGTCTTGAAATCCGGGGTCCAAACTGAGCAGACAGACAGCGAACGACCCACGACAAAGCAAGCATGGTGAGCCATCGGTTTGCCGTAAGTACCCTGGCAATGTGACTCTGAGACATTTGACACAGACTGGGTCTTGTAGTAGAGCTTTGCTATGATGTCCAGATCAGATGTCGGTATGCTCGGATGATATTAGGATATTTGGACAATGTTTAGTTTTAGGCAGTCCACTATTGCAGTGGCAGTCTCAATTTTCGATCTTTAGCAGACTCAATTTTGGGCCCACCAATCACAAGGTCCCACTGCGAGCTGCTGAGACTCCCAGTCTTCAGCACAGACTCCGGTGTAAGCTTTAGGATAGACCGGTGGTGCATGAATATGCACGATGCGCAGTCTTCGATGCAGAAAGGGTTTGTTTGGGCTCGCAGCTTTGGTCTTGATCCGTCGCTTCAGCCTCCTCCAGCGCAGGATTTGCCAGAACGATGCCAGGTCCAGGTGAAGATGGTTAAGACTCTGCTGCGCGTGGATTTGTGTCGGGAACCCACGCCTTGGAGAAATGGTGATTGAAACTGATTTGTATCGGCATTGCGTAGTTGAAGATGCAAAACACCTATATTTCCTCAATGATCTAGCTCAAAATTACTGAAAGAGATGTGCTCAGCCGGCTTTCGCTGTAGGTTTGCTGAGTGTGGGGTTTCGGACTGGAAGCCATGGCAAAGCTGCGTTTAGCGGCAGCCAGACCCACTCAGCTGTCCCAGTGGGAGCGCCTGGATCTTCTGCGAAAGGAAGGATCTTTTTGTGACGTGGTGATGCTGAGCTCAGATGGTCAGCGCTTTCCATCTCATGCCGTCGTCCTAGCCTCTTGCAGCGAAAAGCTGAAAAAAATTATGGAACAAGCCAAGGCAGGCAAGCTGCAGCAAGTGCAGTCACGAGAGGAAAACGCTGAGAACGGTTCGGCCAAGCCGGAAGCTGTCACAGGTGCCAGTGCAGCGGCAGTGTCTGCAGTGCTGGATTTTATCTATTCTGGCCAAGCCCAGCTTGTGCTGAACGTGGTTCCTGAGGTCGCGCGCTTGGCTCGGCGCTGGGACTTGAACTCCTTGCAGGAGGCACTTGCCAGTAGTGTGGCTTCAGAAGATGGTGGACTCACCCCAGACGTCGTGGCGGGGCTTTTCGCCCTAGGGGAGCCCTTTGGAGAGCAGCTCGGGGCAGCAGCAAGGACGTTTGTGCTGAACAACTTTTCAAGCTGTGCAAGCACAGATCCCTTCACTCGATGGCCGCAGAAGGTGCTGGAGCACCTCCTGAAAAGTGATCAACTAGTGGTCACTAATGAAGAGGAGACCCTCTTGTGGGTGGCTCGCTGGCGAGGGGCTAAAGCAGGCAGGGAAGATGCTGCCGTTTCTGTGCTTTCAGCCATTCGTTGGCCTTTGTTGTCTTTGTCGACTCTGGAAGCCTTATCGGATAGCAAAGGCTTCGCCAATGGCGCCTTTGCTGAAACAGTGGCAGAGCGTTGTAAAGCTGCAAAAGTAGCTCATCAAGGCCTGGAAGCCTTGCCTCATGTGCGACAAGGCTTTTGTGGGTGGTGGTCTGGCTTGGGCTGTGCTGCTAAGGGCGGTGTGGTCATTGCTGGGCAGGGTTCACCTGGCAAAGAGCCTCTAAAGCCGAAAGCAATACGCCCACATGAAGGCACGTTGCTGGTGTTGGATGGCACTGAAGAGCCAGGTCGAGTAGTACAGTGGTTCCTTCGCATGCATAGTGGCCGAAGTCTGGCTGGAAAGGGCAGTGAGTTGCAAGACAGCTTTGAAGACATGGCAGATATTTGGAGTGGTCCCGACGATGCTTTCTACATCTTGGACCGAGATGCAGAGCGAGTCGTGCAAGTCCGGAGCGGGGAAACTGAGGTGGCCAGCAAGGGGACCATCCGCCTAGAACGGCCCTGTGGTGTGGCTGTCGAGGGTCCTGATCGAGCAGTTTATGTTCTCGACCGGGAAGGAAGCCGTGTGGTACGGTATGTGCGCGGCCGTTCGATGCAGGTGGCTGGAGGCACTGAGCCAGGTGCAGGGCCAGGCCAGCTCAATGCAGGCCCCACAGGCCGCATTTTTGCAGCCAAAGGTGGGCGCCTTTACATCTCTGACACTGGAAATCACCGGGTGCAGAGGTGGGATCCGGGAGCCAAAGTAGGAATTACAGTGGCTGGAGGTCATGGTTGCGGTAGTGGCGCTGACCAACTGAGCCATCCAGGGGGGATTTGGGCTTTGGACAATGGCACTGTCTATGTCGCTGACGTGGGGAATCACAGGGTAATGAAGTGGCGTGATGGTGCAAAGGCGGGTGTGTTGGCTGCAGGGGGCTACGGTCCTGGCGATGGCTTGCACCAGCTGAAGGAGCCGGTGGATGTGACTGTAGATGCTTTGGGTGCCCTGATTGTTGCTGATTTCGGCAATGCCCGGGTCATGCGCTGGTCACCACCATCCATCTCCACTGAACTGCTCGCAGCGGTGAGGGGATAAAGGGATATGTAGGTCCAAACCTGGGCAGTGATGCAATTACAATGTGGCATTCTGACGATCTGTATCGTACATGTGCAATTTTTAAGCTTCATCTCAAACCATCTCAAATCTAAACGCATGTGTCACCATTTGTGACATGTGGTGCTTTGATGTTCTCTCATACTTTTGCGATCTTTTGCGGTCGTCTGTCATGCGGATGTCTACAACGGAGAACTTGGCTAGGTGAGGCTGCTGGTGACACGAACCTCTTGGCTTGCAACTGAGGGTCAGGTTGCCCCAATGGTGTGTTGCTCTGAAGGATGCAATATGTCAATATGTAGCATTGGCATAGCCGCGACCCCATTAAACTTGCCTGAGCGGCTTGAGTGTATTCACTCATATTGTAAATTGCATGCGTTTCACCCAAGGTTTTCGCCACAGCAGACATGATTGTTTTGCCACTACCTTCGCTACCTTGCTGTTTGCCGATGCCGCCTCTTAAAGTTCCTCTGGAGCTCAAAGTGCTCATCATCCCGGTTGTCACTTGTAGCCATGGCGCAGGACTGCAGCTGCTGCGTTTATTTGCAAGTACTGGTAGCAGCTGTTTGGTGAGACATGTGGGCTTAACTACATAGGACCTGATGGCCTTTGATGCCAAGAGCCCTGCCCATGCAAAGGTGGAGCAAAAGCCAGAGGAGTGACCTGTTACATTTTGGTTTGAAGTGCATGGAAGCCCGTGGACAAAGGAGATTCAATGATTGCAAGATGCCCCAAGGCTGATCAGCTGATAGTCGGTTTGATCTGAATATTTATTTGTTGGGACTGTATCCGTGGCACAGCCGCCAAACAGGCTTCAATCCGGCTGCCGACTTAAGAACTTCAGGCTTGTGTAGTTCTTCATGTTCCAATGACTTGTGCGCTTCTATGCTCGGGTTGTGGACTTATATATATATATAACTCAATACGACCAGAGAAGCAAAAGCGCACTAGACTTCTACTCACGGTGTCCAGTGGAGCCCGGTGGGGCACTTTACCCACAGCAGATCTTTGAGTTGGCAGGATCTCCTGAGCAGCTTCGATCCCTTGACAGCCGCTGCTGCACCCACGTCCAGCCTCCTAGACGCAAGTATGTAGATATAGATATAATTAGTGACTATGTATGAATGTTTTGATCATGTAATATCAATGTTTTGATTAACAGTTTGCCGATCTTTGGCCACTAGTACCGTTGAGGTTTGCTGCAGAAACTATTTACCAGATGCCTTAAGGATGCATAGTGACATAGTGGCTTCGCCAATCGCACCTTTTAACATACAAAGCCGCCAACACCAAAGCTCAGATGAGATGAGCAAGGGTGTTTCCAATGTAGGTTTATATTGATATATGTATATAGTCTTATAGATTTTTGTGGACAAGCCACACTTGATCTCAGGCAAGGCGGCCAGCTCCCTGGATCTTCCGCCTGCTGTGGCTGCTGCTTTCAATGCACCAGCAGCCACCTCGGCACCTTGGATCGTCTTGGGCCGTTTTAGCTGCAGCTTCCAAATAGCTTCTTGTTACTACTAGTAAGGCACTTGTTACTAGTAGCGAGACACTTGTTCCTAATAGCTTCTTGTTACTACTAGTAAGGCACTTGTTACTACCGTAGATGGACGAAATATTCAAACCCTTTCAACCACGTGGACCCCTTCTACCCCAAAGCTCAATGTTAGAGGTCTTGCAAGAATGTTTCGGCGAATGGATGAAACAAATCAAACCCTGGAAACACAAATTCAATCAAGTTATGTTCAACATTGACCTTTGGGGGTCAGGGGTTGGCGACAGTTATTGGTACATGGGTTTGAATATTTGGTCCATCTACTGTCTAAAGGTGTGACGTTTGCATATTTTTGGCTCGTAAGT